AACTCGTCTTGTCTCTTTGACGAGTTGCTGTATGGTGCTTAGGATGGCGATACTCACTGATGATGCCGGCGAAACGTTTGGGAATGTACCACATCCACGGTTCAACTTTGGAAATGATTATGCAGACAATGGACCCCGGACTAGGTGCATTCCAATAAGTCTTCCTACCAATATGAAGAGGTATTTATGCCTAATTGAAAGATTGAAGGAGAGAGGGTGATGATCCGTCGTCCAAAAGAAAACGATTCAGTTTGTCAGTTGAGCGATAGTTCTAACCAAATTCACACTCATTCCATATGCATATTGAGCTCATCACACAAAATAGACGAACGTCTCCGGACACTTTCATTCGAAATAAATGTAGCTCACCAATTAGAAACAAAGAGAGTCCGTGAAACCCAACTTTTATTCGCATATGCTACCACTATTCCAGACAGCCACAAGTGCCCTGAGTCACAGAAGAGATGTGAATCAAATCACATTTATATGATGATTAGCCTCGCCTATAACAAGAAGCATTTTCGATATTGCCACAAATCAGCACTTGCTGAGGGTGCATACTTGCAATGAGCAAGGTGATTGACGCTAGAGGCAATAGGAAAAGAGGAATAATCTTTTTCCATATCAAATGTTGACAACCTCGAGGGCTCAGCACTCTGCGTGCCCTCACTGCTAATGAGGTGAAATCTAGCGACTACTTAAATCGGCAAAAGAGTAAAGCATGCTTCCAAGTGTCTGCATCCAACTTCGAACCTGCGCCTCGTTCTCCTACTGGCCATTCTCTGTTGCCGTGTCTACCAGCTTGCGTGCATGCGCCTTTTCTTGCACACCCCTCGGTCCAGGATGTCTCACCTCTCGGCTGCCGGCCCGACAGGTTGGGCAATCGCTCAACTGACTGGCTGGATTCATACGTCCCAAGGGGATAGTGCCTTCTGGCAATTGGGCAAGTGACGGCGAGCCCGTAGAACCCCCGATCGGCCTCCGCAAAGACTCCTCTTCGCCACCTCCCGCAGAGCCGCCCGACTGACAGACCCCCTTGTATGCCCATCGAATAGACACAGCCTGTTTGAGGAATCCGGACGAGCCAAACTAATGTTAAGGGGGTCTGTTGTCTCCGGAGGCCTCTCACCTCCATGAGATGTTTGCTGCAACTGTTCTCCCTTTTCTCCACTCTGCACACCCTCACCCTCACTTTCACCCTCC